TAACCCTAGATTGGCCTGAACAACACCATGTTTTATCCTTACAATAGGACTGTATCAAAACGGGGTATCAGAACAGTTGATCACGCTCATTTATATCTATAATTTATCATATGCTTTTGATAAATTTTGTTTTGATTCTTTTATTCAATCAAAATCAACATATTCTTACAATAATGATTTGTTCTGAACATATGATTGTGAACATAATCTTGACTATAAATTTAGTTGAGTCAAATGTTTGAATATGTCGAATATTGAATTTTTAAATATTAAACATCTTTCTATTCAACTTCTGGTCGGGGTGTGTGGGTGTGGGTCTTCATTCCATTTGCAACCATACCCAGCACACACCTACACCCACACCCACACCCCACACCCACACCCTTTTCAGACATACACATGTAAACTTACAGCATAAAATATATAACCTAATTTGTATAGTATTATGTCTGTATCCTTACAGCAATATCTTTATATCTTTATCCACAGATCTACATTCGTAGACATAGATTTTTGCGCCTATATTCTGAGTAGGACTGTATATTTACACCTGTATTCTAATGTCTACGTCGTCATACTTACACTTATCAATGTAGTCTTGTTTCTTTTAGAAAATTTTTTTCCTACTTCATTATATTATTGTACCTGATTTAACTAATTCACTGTAATCTAAATACATATAATTATTACCTTGTTTCTTTTGTACATCCTTTACTACTACACATCACTATACAGTTATGCATAACTATATCTCCGATGGATACATACTTCCTCTATTATTCTTCCATTTTTATATACCTCTATATATTTATACAACATTAATTAAATAAGTTTAACATCATGAAAAAAGTCTGAGTTTGGCATAAAAATTTTTCTTTCCAAATAAAGGCAACTAAAACTTTGCCCTTTCTCTTTCAAGTAGATTTTATCATATAATTTTGTACAATAGTACAACATGCATATAATCTAATTATATTATTATTAGATTTTCATCGAACTTGTCTAATTTTACTTGATCAGCTATCTTTTGTATATTAGCTTTCATTCTATGTTTTCTCTCTTTCATAAACCAATTAAAAGAATTCTTAATTACTTTTGTTATCTTTTCTATTCACAATTAGTACTTCATATTGAAGAGCATTGAACACATCCTTATCGAATATTAAAGTAAGTTCATCTAATTGATGTTTAATAAGTAAAGATAAAATTTGAATTAATAGTTCACACAGCCACCATCGCGTGAGGACAAGTGATTTAAGAAAAGGAAAACGAAGCATTTTTTTATTATTATTTTGAAAAAAATCCATTCATAATTAATATCACACGCCATTGGATTTTTTCCATCAAAACAGATACGTCAAATGCCAGAACAAAATGATAATAATGATGAATGATTAAGAAATGGTAATAATCTTAAATAATATTTGTCATAAGATAAACCTGAGTTTTTAATAACAATACCATTATTTTTTCGATTATCATTTATTGAAATAATTGAACAAGTAAGATTATTTATGCGATTATTTAATGACCAAAAAGTTAACATTTCGAACCATGATAAATAAGAAAATATAATAAGAAGAGCTTCATTTGGTAATTTCGTTGGGAAAAATTCAGAATATGATTTCATACAAATTCTCTTTGAAAACAGCTTTTCTTTTCTCTTCAAATATCTTTCTATGAATACAACATTAGTGCAATTCTATTCATATCTAACTTTCTATATAAATTGTGCAATATAGGATCGTATTTTACTATGAAATAGTGAAACAATAGCAATTATTGACAGTCTTTGTTTTTCTATTTTACAGGTTTAATGTATTGAGAATAAGTTTATGATAGTCTAAAATAAACACAACTAATCAATCAGTAATTTGAGTTTTTCAACACTGTTGTTGATAGTTAAATCATGAACAATTATGAATTTGAATACGTTCATATCGCTTCATATGAATTGATCAACAATTTCAATGCAAATTAATGCAACCTCATTAAAATTCACAAGCTAAACTAAAACTATCACGTATCTAATTAAGGAATCAATCATATATTTACTTCTTTCAAAAGTTGAATATCTAGTAAACTTATACGAGATAGACTTCATTTTCATTTATTAATCTTTTAGCAACGAACGAAATTCTTTAAATGATAATTCCGTTCTTCTACCTTTCAAGAAATACCAAAATATGATAAAATCTGTAGAATATCAATATTAATTAGTAATAGAGTCTATTTCTTTCAAAGCAATCAGTCAAAATATTTTAATAGAATATTTGAAAAATTGTTAATGAGTTTAAAATCGTTCGATAAACAACATAGTAATAAAAATATTCCTCATTAACATACAACTAATCATTTTCTTACACGATATTAGTTTTTCATAAAAATTATAATTACAATAAGAATTATTATTTATTTTATAAAAGAAAAGAATACTTACATAAGTAAAGAATATATAAACAAACTTTTAAAAAATAAATCGATTTCTTTTTCTATTCGCATTAAATATTCTATTTGTTAAGAATTTTCAAATAAAAAAGTCGTCTTTGTTTTGGAACACTATAGGGAATACCGAGATATGTCATTCATATCGAATACGAAGCTTACAAATTGTCTTCTGTCTATTAAGCAAGACGAACTTTTAGTTCAAAATTAATTTTTTTACGCCATTTTTAGTGAAAATGTGAAAAAAAAGATGCTGGAAAAAAATTATCTAAACGAATAGTAGATCTTTGATATAATTACAATTTATTTGCACAAATAGAATAAGAAACTACCTTCTCTCCTGTTTAGTGTATCATGATGATATTTAAAGCATATCAATAGAGACATGCACATACTGACAACATACATGAACCTCGAATATACTCATTTGTAATGAACAGGAAAAGGATATTTTCTTTTTCTTTCCAATAATATGAACCAATCTGACGACAAGAGTCATATTTACCTAATTTTGGGAAATTTTAGACGGTCTGTTTTTTTTTGACCAGAATGTTGTTGTATTTTAATGTCTATCGTAAATGAAAAGGAAAGCGTAGCAAAAACGAAAATATAGAAAATGTATATGTCTGCCTGTTTTTTTTTGAATCATATCACTCTCGAGATGATTTTGAATTAAGACAATGATTCTATTGATAGAATAATTACATGACCTGTACTGAAATACCTTTCAACAGAAGTAATAAGAATATATAGAATTACTGCATATTTAACATTTCTACCAAAAGAATAATTATGGTTGAAGAGTTTCTTTTTTGATTTGCTATATTTTAGACTATGTGCTACATTTAAAAGAGTCAGCATCATTTAACATCAGACAACACAAGATTCTCATGATTTTGTAATTTGATGAGAGGATGGGTGTGAGTGTTAGTCATCTCTTCATCAACACCCACACCGACCCAGTCCAACCA